ATGTAAGGCGAGCTAATATCATAACTGCGATATTGTGATACTTCAATGAAATTGTCATGATTCACTCTCGGAGATCGTGAGTTTGGAGGATTATCAAAGCTCACTGCAGCGAAAGGTCACGTCGAAACAACTCAAGTTCACAACAAAAATGGTGCAAGCCATAAAGACCAGATTCCCGGGTTACCACAGGGTAGACCACATACTTATGCAGCTTCCCCCTTGGCAATTCTTCTCGGGACCGTACGTCTAGATCTGAGAATAAAAGCACTCCTTGATAAGAGCGCTCTGCGCAACCTTTGGTACGCCTACGGGTAGCAAAATCATGAATGCATTTAATATACAACATATCAAACCGAAAACCGATATAAGTGGTGGCGTGGAACTATAAGGGCAATCACGTAAGATACATCTTGCTAGCTTTTATGTAGCTCAGACCACCGTCTCGTCATCATTCAAGCCATTTGAGGGCGGAAGTGGTTCAGTGGCAAACGGTACACTTTACACGCGCATAGTCCCGGGTCCGAATCAATCTCCGCCAACCAAGCCTGGTGTCAGCTCACTGGTACCAGACTCGTCTGGGAGTATAAAAGTACCGAGTTGTACATTGCCTTACCACGGCAAGTCATTGTATAGGCCACATAGCCTTCAATACGCCACTACGATTCCGAATGGAAGTCGAATGCATGGGCGCGATTGATTAACGCCCCAAGACTATCCTTCATCCTCTATCCAGCTATTTGCAGCTGAGTCCATTTTCCTCGTTTCCTATTTGTATCAAAAGAATTTTTGTGTGTTAGTGCGAGGTTTAAACAAGGCCTCAATGTCCTGTCAAAAATATTCTGAAAGATTGCAAAACGAAGAACTCAATCCCGCACAAGAAGAGTGAATTTAGGATAGCAGCCATATGAATATAAATAAATGCATATTAAAACCATATAAAAACAGTCGACAATTCGAGATACGGTCAACAAGACCAATAAAACAAAGTTTATGTACCTCTCGCACAAATCGTGAATCCGTGGAACCAGGGAAGATCTCCTTGTCGAAACTGCATTTCCTTGAATGAACGATATGCATATTACCATTGTATGAAAAAAAATTCAGCTTCTCAAAGACTCTAAAATTGCTACTACATGACCAATGGCGGTGAGAATTCAGATGCATTTCGGGCGCTCGTGGGGGTTTACGATCTCAAGTTACATTCAGTATTCAAGGCCCAATGCAACGGAAACACCCTAAATTCAGATCTTGTCGTGTTGGATCGCAAGTGTAATCAGTACTGTAGAATCTCTTGATGTTCGAATTAAATTTTTAAGACAGACCGGAATGAAAAACCAGGAAAAGCTAAACTTGCTGAAGTTTCCATGAACAATATTCCTTGGATCAAGACAAAATGATTAGCATGTACTCAAGAAAAAAAGGATGCACACTCACTCTTCCTTGAGCGACTTCTCAAAAGCTGACCAGAAGGGATCATCACTTGTCGTTGGCGTTACAGCAGTGATTTCGCTCTTCTGAAATAGAGGCATATTACGTATAATTCGTAAGTGTTTCAATCGGTGCACTGTGTTTGAAGGGAAAATCATACTAGTGACGACGATGACGATAAAGTGACGATAAAATTGACGAAAACTGATCAAAACTAATACGAAATGAGGATAACGAAATTTGGTTCACCCCTTCTAATTATACAGTAATCACTGTGCACCAAGTGCTCACAAAACATTAACCCTTCGACGACAATGCGCATTTCGACGTGCTGCGCTCATGGAACCACACCCTCTCGCGTTCGTGCGCGACTGGCACCCACGGTGGGTGCCATTGTCCCAGGAGAACGTCATTCCACTGGCTTGCTAAATTTGGCAGTATTTCCTGTGTAATAGAAGTACTAAGATATTTTTCATTCATTGTAGGAGTATTAAGGTATTTTTTCATATTCATTATATATGATTAAAGGTTCGAAATGGATCTTAAGGGCCCTGAATGGAGGTGTAATTAAAGTACGTAGTAGGAATTCGTACAACATTCAGGGCCTTTGGAGATCAACTTGTAATTTGCGACTGCCATGCTGAGACAACCTGTCGGTTCTACTTTCTGCAAGGCTATTGGGAAAACATAAACCTTGCGAAAGTACCTAGGTTTTTTTCAGTAGTATTCCATCGACTACATATGTTTGAAATGAATATTATATTGATATTGAAATATTGAAACTATTCTAAATATTCATACTAACCATTATCGCTTTATCTCTTATTTATAAAGCAGCAACTTGGTGTGTCGGTATGTCGGTCTGTCCGTCCGCAAAACTTTATGATTACGATAAAAGTAGTGTTATAGTACACTTACATCAGCTCTATTCTACACTTCCTTCTTATATATAAGGCAGTAACTTGGTGGGTAGATTAATGGAGTAGAGTGGGTACTGCGGAGTGAAGTGAGTAATGTGGAGGGAAGTGGATACGCCAAAACTGTGATTCCGAATTGTACTGGCATCGCACTATGTATGTCGTTACAAAAGTCGGAGGTGAACTTGGACTCTCCGAAAGCAGGATGAGTATGCTGTAAGCGTTACTCAACGCGCTTTGTAAAGAACGATGCTCGAAATTCTCCTATACACTCAAGTGCAGCACTGTTTCGAGCTCCGTCATCGAACGAAGATCAGCGATGCGGTTGATGCGGTGCCAAGAAATCGAAGATCAGGTGGGCCGGACACGGTTGTGCGATATAGTGATGACCGTTGAACCAGGGCGGTTACTGAATGGACCCCTCGGAAAATCAAACGAACGAACTTCAGGACGGCCGTCACAGGATGGTCAGACTTCTTCACGAAAGCTTCGAACGAAAAGAATGCTGGACCTCGTGTCCCGAAGCGAGGACGATTCACTGGACCACTCTGGCTCGTGACAGGGACGAATGGAGAAGTTACTGACGCCCGCTCGAGGAAATCGATGATCAACGGTACGACAGGTGATACAGGTGATTTCAGGTCCTCAACGAGAAGTGAAAAATTCTCATTGTTGGATTCAAGCAAAATGGGTTGCTCGTTGTCCTCAGAGTAGTCTATCGTCCTAACCACACTTTCAGTGACTGAAAAACCAGATCGAACTTTATTTTCTGTATGAACAGAATGATCATACAGAAAATAAAGTCGGCAATGAATGTTGGCGTCTCGAGTGTCCCTTAGCGTCCGTTGGTGTGTGTATGTGTATGTATGTGTGTGTTTTTATACATGTATGTGTGTGTGTCTAACCGGGAATTCACAATTCCTGTCCCCGTGGACTTAAAGCGTCCAAATTTTTAGAAGAACAGGCGGCAGAATGGGAACTCTTATAGTGAGTGGCAGGACCGGACTCCGCCTGCAAAGTTTAAGCGAAAACTCACAACTACTGTTTCCGTGCACCTAGCCCGTTCAGTATGGGAATGCTGATGGGAGGTGACATGACTTGACAGGAGGCGGGACGAAAATTGCTAATTTTGACCTTGGGAGTTCAAATTTGGAACGAGTGCAGGCGGTAGATTTGAGACACCGATGGTAGGTAGTACAAGGTAAGTAAACTGGATCTAGCCCGCAGAGGCATGGAGGGCAGGGGATTAATGGGGCGTGATAAACTGAATAAAAGCACGCAGTCAAGTTGGAGTAAGAGGGAACGAACCCAACGCACAAAATGTGTCGGTGTTTGTGTTTTCTGGACATTAATAACTCCTGCTTTCTTGGATCAGAGATTTCTAACTCGTAAAATTGCAGGCGGCGGATAGCCAATAAAAATGGTTTTTGAGATTTACCCGTAGAAAATTTTAGGTCCCATCGTATCTGGCTCTACTGGGTGGAAAAATGGCCTAATAAGGGCGTCATAGAAGCTCAGAGATTGCACCGTGTGTATCATCGGACGAGTTTCACCGTCATTGCAGTAGCTGCGCCATTCACAAGCGAACCCATGTAGGAGGCTCAAGCAACTTGTCATGACCCATAGCGACAGTGAAAAGCAGTTCTGTACAATTCTGGCTTGATGTAGTCAGCTCTTTGCGCAATTGCAACAACTGAAATCTCGTCCGAGTAACCCTTCCATGTTATTTCCGTCATTGTAAGCCCGTTCAAACCCTATTTTAACTATTTTTAAGGAGCCATATTTATCTCGAAATGGGCAATTTCTCTCGCTTTCTTCACTACTGAAGAACTAATCCGAACCTACACTGGCGCCATTCGTATTAAAAGGGTTACTTCAAAATTATTGTGAACTTGCCTTAAATGCACAGTTCACGGTAATTTTGTGGTACCCTTTTCTTAGTCGAAAAGCGGAAGTATAGATTGGGAATAGTTCATTGTTTGTGAAGGAAGCAAAAAAATTCGCCGATTTTGAGAAAAATAGGGCTCCTCAAACGTGGGGAAAGTAGAGATAAGACGAGATTACCAGACGGAAATAACATGGTAGGAGAATTTCGGTTGTTGCAATTGCGCAAAGAGCTGATTACATCAAGCCAGAACTGTACAGAACAGTCTTTCTCTGCCGCTATGGGTCACGACAAGTTGTTTGAACTTCCTACATGGGTTCCCTAGTGATCTGTGGGGTGCGCTTCGATGCGCGCGTCCGTCGAAGCTAGGTCACGCCGCAGCCGTAGCATGCGGCGAGTCAGCCCGCGATACTTGACAGACGTCGCAGTTGTCAGTGGGGCATACGACATGCGCATGGTTCACGGCAGTCAGCCAAAGAGAAGATAACACGAACAAATGCAAATCGTTCGCTCCACTGACACTTGGTTGTACTTTAATGTCATCTCTACAATGCCGGTGAAACTCGTCCGAAGATACACACGAGACAATCTTTGAGCCTTTACAACGCTCTAACCAAGCCGTTTTCCGAAATGATAGCGCCAGATATGATAAAAGACGGGGCCTCAAACTATCTTATGGGGAAATCCCAGATACCATTGTTATCGTGAACTGTGCCTTTAACACAAGAAGGAGTAGAGCCCGGGGCTAGCCGGGCGATCCGACTGGTTTTACGAAACGCTGCTACTCACGATTACATGGAGAAAGTGCAGTTGTGCATAATAAATAAGATGGATTGCGGATTCGTTCTATGCTTCCGATTAGAAATTTCAAAATGCTCAAATCTAGGAAAGTGAGATCAGTTGATACGGCGACTTTATTATGAGAAAGAGGTAAATGAAGACACATTTCACTCGGGACCTGGCCTTAAGAGAGTCCTTCATATCATGAGTGTGCCTCACCACTTTATTTCAAGGGTCGAGCTAAAACGACGTATCGTCACGGGTTAGGGATGTGAGAAGAAACAACATTGCAGGTGTCGATCAAAAAGTTTCTCGACGCAAGAGTGACATGGGCATATTCAGCCAGAGAATATTATCGTTTTAATTCGCAACAAATAAAACCCACCCGAATAAATTCGTAGGTAACGCCAGCACCGGCTTTTGTACACCAACTTGCAATGCGTTTTTCCATCTCATTGAGGTCGGCCGTTGGCGGTGTACGTACGTCGAGCACTGAATCAGGGCTATGGTAAATATACGCAGACAACCTTTCTTCTCCGATAGCACACAGGTACTGTTTTTGCATATTACTGCTGTTCAGATTCGATCTTACGTGCCAACAACTCCATTGATCAAACTAGAACTTACATATCGTGAAACTATCCGGTACCACGTTCACTTGCACACCACCCTCAACCTTCGTAATATTCAGTGTGATCACATCTCCTAAACGTTTCGTGGAGTCATTTTTTAGCAGAAGACGTTGCTCCTCTCGAAACGACAACGCGCTGTTGATGAAGGATTGCTGAATCAAGAATGAGAAGAATCTTTACAAAGATATAGAACAACAGATGTCACTAGAGAACTCATATACGAACAGAAGGTTCGGTATGGGACATAACTCGGTCCAAAAACTATGCATTCCGACCATATTTAGCAGTGAACAAACAAAACAAGTGAGAAGTGACTGAAGTGCCATTCCCAAAAAGTGTCTGATGAACATACCAGCTTTGCGACAGCCGTGTTCTCAATGAACTTTGAGCCATGGCCGGGCGATCCGCTACAAGTGACTTTCAACCCTAAAATAATAATTTAGTGCTCACCTTAGAGGCACCGTTCATGATAATTTTGAGGTACCCCTTTTAGGTTGTAAAGCGAAAGTGATGTAGAGGAGTACATCAGTGGAGAAGAAAGCACGAAATACCGGACTACTCCCAGCTTTTTAAAAGCGGTGGAAGTGGAAGTTGTACGAGATCACCGCGGCAAGAATGGCATGTAAGGGGTTTTTGGACGAGATTTAACTTGCTCCCATCGCGCAAAAAGCTGACTACATCAAACCATAGCTGTCCAGAATTGCCTTTCACCTTCGCTACGGGTCATGACAAGTTGTCTGTACTTCCTACAATGGTTATCTTATGAATGGTGCAGCCTCTACGAAGCCGTTGAAACTCGTCCACGACGGGTGGGGCATCCCCACGATACAATTTCTGGCCCCTTTTTGTGTCCTGTCCAGGACGTTGTCCGCCCTTATAACGGCAAGTATGGTATAAAGGGGAGCCCCGAATACATAGTATAAGGAAATCACAGAAACCATTTTTATCGTGAACTGTGCCTTTAGACCATTTTACAGAGACTAAAAACGCAAGAAATTGGTCAATCCCAACCAAAGATAGATGAACTTTACTCACACCATGGATTTCGTTCGGCATAGTAGACTTTGAACGAGGAGGTCTCGGATGCCAACCCTTCGTCAAGCATGAAACCTAACTTGAGATCACGAAACTCTTCCATCTTCACGAATTTTTGCATTCCATCCACCCCTCCTAATTCTTCGTCTGCAAAATTACAATAAAGAGCCTTTGAACAAACCAGATTCATGCGACGGAAGCACGAGCACGAATATTGCTTTGGATGGCTTTACCTGGAGCCCAAACAATATGTATGGTCCTTGGCCACTGTTTCTTTCCGCGCTGAAAATGCCTTCTGATCGCCTCGAAATACTGCGAGCCAACCGATTTCATGTCTTGCGCCCCTCGACCGTAAATATTACCATGCTCATCCTTATGCGCAGAATACGGATCATACTTCCATTGGTCCTGGAAACAGCGTTTCGCACCTCCTACAGTGTCTTCAAGAGAAAAAGACTTGTACTGTAAAGAACTGTAAAGAGCAGCCAATAAATTTAGTTAGCATGTTTTACTCACTTTTACAATATAAGATGTTTTACAAGTCTGAACCTTCACAGGGGTTTATCTGATTCACGAAATCAGTGAGGAATGAGTGAAGGACAATTCTATTCCCTTCAACGTTGCTGGCTGTTGCAATATAGCAGCACCACATGTGCTGCTGAACCAAAACCACCACCTACCAAGGCGAAAACACCTATCGAATTCACCTCAGTGGATAGTAGTCAGCGGTTTAGGTCGCCACTTCCGACCCCACCAACTTTCTCCCCCTATCACTGCACGATATGGCAGAGCCCGTCCTCGATATGTGCCCACGACAATTGAGACTATGGACTTGCAGTGATCTGTACGCAATCTGATAGGCCTGCTCAGATCGGCCTGACTTGCAGAGGAGATAAGTTGAGATGCCAGCCATTTCACTCATCTTGTTTCTATATCTCTTTATCGTATATCTTTGTATAACTCTACCTTGAACCACTACAATGAACATTCGAAGTGGGTTCTTGGCTTTAACCTTATATCGCGCGCTCTTTTCTATCGAGACTCGCTTAGCACACTTTCTTACAGGTTTGATTTTGCCATCTTTACGACGTACGCACGACCGTACTATCTCACGCGATCGATGCGACGCCCTCAAAGGTTTGAGGACAGTTTAAAAGGCGCTCCAGAAGCCATCACCTCATCTATGGTTCGCAATGTTCCTTTCTACGATGAAGCTACCGGGGTAAAAAAGTAAAAACTATACCTTGACGGCCGGTACAACGTCAGTGTGCGAGTACAGAACAACTGATTTCAATTCTGGTTGCGATCCAGGAATCGTCATGATAATGAATGGTTTTCCAGGTATAGCCTAAAAACACATCTAAGGAACAGAAACCTAGAGCAGATCGAAAGAAGGCTAGAAGCTCGTTATCGGTTGAGAAGGCAATTCGAGCTCTTATGGGGACTGGATTGACGCCAGCCGCTCCTAGAAACTGTTTCAGGATCACGTGCTGGATTGTAAACCGAACATTTGAGGTAAGGGAGGAACCACTGGAGTTCAACACCATCTTTGTTGTCGGGCGTCAAAAAAAGCCGAGAGCAGAATACTAATAAAGTATTACACTCCGTTCAGTCAAAGTATCAACAGCGTTTAGCAAATACATGGACTTGAGCTCGACGACCTTTTCATATGGAATGCTTAGAAAAGAGTGATCTCCATGATAACGACATGCTGCAAGTGAAGCAGGAAACTCTTTTCATTCTCGTCCTTTTCTGGCTTTTTTATTTGCTACCGCTGTTTTCCTTGTTTATATATTACTTCTATTTCACAGCGTTCGTCTTCTTTTTGTGAAAGAAATCATGGCAAAATTAGCGGCCTTTAGAACTTTCGAAATTTCAGGCCCGAGATGAGCACTGGGAGCTATCCTACCGTACATATACATACAACGCGGTAATGTCTGTGTGTTTGTGTGTGGAACACTTATGATAGGTGACAGGATCGGACTACACCTACAGGAGCGAGGTTTGAGCAAAGTAAAGTTTGAGCGGAAAACCACAACTCCTGTCCCCGTAAACCTAGAACGTTCGTATTTGGTAGGAGCACATGCGGGAGGATGGGAACACCTGTGATATGTGGCAGGACCTAACGTCGCCCACAATGAGCGGGGTTTGCAGGAATTCATAACTCCTGTTCTCGTGAACCGGAACAATCTTTGAACCTTTTACTACGCCCTATCTAGGCCGTTTTCCGATCTCACAACGCCACATATGATCTATGAAGGGGACACAAATTTATCCTAAGGGGATGCCTCATAAGCCATTTTTGTAGTGAGCTGTGCCTTTAGCAATTCTTATGATATCAACGAACTTCCCACTCGATTTTGTACTATCACAGGTATCGGCAGTTTGTTTCAAATAATTATGAAGAAGGAAAGCAGAAAAGTGATGATGCTTCCGTTTGTGCGCTGCTACTGGAGTACTTTGCCCTCTGTCGCTGGACTTAACCGGGTACACACTACGAAGTATGGCGCGCAGAGCATTTACGAACAAACCGAGATGTGGTCAATTTAGAACATTGAACTTCGATGGAAATGAGCATGCCTCAACAGCCCGTCTCGCAATTCCAAGTTCATCGGCGAGATTGAAAAGATATCGCTGACAACCGACTGGAAATAAAATAAAATCTACTGCCTTTCTGCATAATGATCAACAACTGTCAATCGGGCCAGCTAATGGCTCACCATAGTCAGGAGTCGGGTGTTCTGTCTTCACTCGTAAATATTCGCGGAACTTCGTAACGGCAATATCTTCGTTTGCCATTGAGTACCTAAAAAAATGTAGTTAGTGGTCGCAGCCATTGGAAAATACTATACAAAGATCACCAGTTCAAGATAATCCTGCTGAAGAGTTTACGAAGAATACATGATTGACTAAGCATGTTTCCCAAGGTATAAGCAAGGAAATGTTTCGTGCAAGTTCGACAATTGACAACATCCTCATGAATGCCATTAGAATAATGGAAGCAAAACGCCTTATTTCGTTCTAGGTTCTATCCCATAATTAGAAGACATGCTTCGTGATTTCAGGATTCAGGATTGGTATCTGCAAAGGCAATTGTGCCAGCTTTAACGATAACTCTATTGGGAACTCTAGAACCGAAAAAGATCATATCAGTTTATTTGAAGATATCAGTCGGCGAGTCTTTCGACTGAATAGAATATTCTACTCACAAGTCGGGTTGCAAGACTTACGCCGGGCCACATTCTTTACTTTTTCAAAGTGATTAGAAAATGTAGTTAGGGGGAACATAGCAACTATCCAACATCTGGTGAGGGTTACAGTGCAAAGGAGGAGTAGCCGCTCACTCACCCACTTCACTTCTAAAGTTCAAGTCAAAAAATTGTATGTTCTCGGCTGATAAACGTTAATGAGCACAATTATTACGAGTATTCCTCATCTGCGCTCTAATGCTTAACATTAAAAACTGTTGAACAAGAAACGGAGGTCTTTCGCCTACATTATTACCTCCATTTTTGTATAGACATACATGGCGCGATGCCAGCACAGATCGGAATCACAGTTTTGAAGCACCCACTTCCCATTACTCACTTCATTCCGCAGTACTCATTCTACTTCGTGAATCTACCCACCAATTCAGTGCTTCACATATAAGAAGGAAATGTGGGATAGAGCTGAGTTCTCCATATCACTACCTTTACGTAATCACAAAGTTTTGCGGACGGACATACCGACAAACCGACACACCAAGTTACTGCTTTGTAAATAAGAGAGATACCCCATCCTTGCTTTCCGCACAAGGTTATCATCTCACACCTCACCCCGGCTCTTCTACCCCCTTAGGCTGGTTTAAAACTGTATTCTTCCGCCTAGAACCGTTATCGAGCACAAGTGAGGTCCGCTATCCCTCCTTCTCTGCACTCTAGCCCTCAGTGTTCGATTAAATTGATGCCACCCCTCTCCAACTACGTTTTCCATTACTTTGTAGAAGTAAGGAATAAGGCCCGGCATAGGCCAAGAGACTCGACCGGTTGCTAAGGAAGCTAGGAAGAGGCAGCTGTGTTGCGCGTATATGCGTGGGTGCTATCCTTATGAAAGAACCATGGGACCTTTGAGAAAGCCTAGGAGGAAATTTGGAATTATTTGAGCTTTTTAGCAGATTTTCTGGACAACCTAATATTTTAGATAGTCTAGAGCTTACCAAAACCATCTATTTAACCCTTAACTTCTTCAAAACCATCAACATTGAAGACCCTAGAGATTCTGCTCGATTTTTAGGAAACTCGCTCATCCACTGAAATTCATGCATGGACAACTTCATGGAACGATCCCATTTCAAAGAAGTCTCTACTCTCAAGACAGCTCTTATCGTTACTAAGTCTCCCGAGCTTTGTAACCTTTCTTATTCCTTGCTTCCTCAATGAAGTCAGTCGG